CCTCTCAACTCACAGCCCAGGGGCCTTGGGGACATACAATCAGGTGCCACTGCTCAGCTTTTTACGCTGATGACCATCAGTTGCATTAATTTTTTCCAAGTCTGGCCCAAAGGTAAGAATGACTCAACTTTCAGATACAATCCATCTGCACTGCAAAGTCCTGTCTCCCTCTATGCATCGCAACAGAAGCAGCACGCCAGGACTGCCCGCCCCAGCAGCTCGACTTTGTCCAGGCTCTCGCTTCATCACCCAGTTGAATGCAACTCTCTCAGGAGCCCCTGAGTCTCCCAAACTGTTGTACGCACCCAGCATTCCACCGTTCTCAAAGCAAACGCCGTGAGTGTGCCTCATGGAAGGCTATCTCTCATGCCTGGGATACCTGACAGCTTTGTCCTTACTAGACGCCTCCAGCAGTGGTGCCCAACGGTGGAGATGTCTTACACAGATCCTTTGAGAAGTTCACAGAAGATGTGTGCTATGAAAAAGCCATTCATGAATTCCAAAAAAAGTCTGCACCAAAATAAATTCAGCTTCAAATTTCTTTTTCCCACAAACTTTTTGAAGTCCCCTTGTATATCCGAGCAGCCCCCTAAGAAGTCACTGACTACACGGAGCAGAGGAGCCCTTGAAGTGTGGCTCAGGCAACTGAGAAAGTTGGGGATTATTTTGCTTTCTTGTGATGAACTGAAATAGCTTCATGAGACAAACTCAACACAGAAAATTTTAAACTCCGTGAAACATTAGAAGGCTCTCAATAAAGACATAACTGAAAAACAGACAAAGCCAGGGTGGATTGAGTTAGCATGTGTCAATGCTGGCCAGCTTGGAGGGAGAAAGAAAGCAGTAAGACAATGTTGCACACCCCTGGCATTCCGTCCCGGGCTGCTCCTCTGCCAGCGATCACTCCAGTCAAATGTGCAATTCATTTGCTTTGGGTCTGTAATTGGTTTGGTGTACACAGAGGGAAAGGATGAAACATTTAACAAAATTAAGTGTGGTTTGGTTTAAAGTTATTCATCCCTCCTTTGGTTTTTCTTGCCTAGCGTGAAAGCCTTCAGGACAAAGCTGATCCATTGGGGCTCCATTCTCTCCTCCACCCAAATCAGCCAATCCAACAGTGGATCTCGCCAAGCTTCAAAGGGAGACAACGTGTGTCATCGCAGGCTGCGTGCAGGGAGAAAAGAACTGAGCTCCACATAAGGACGAAAAGAGCTCAGGAAAGTGACCAAAGCGCACAATGACAGGTCCTGGAGAATGTGGAAGCCACACGGAAGGTGTGTCCTCCCCCTGGAGGACATTCGAACACAGACGGACACACTCCCAGGGGCCACCGCACTCCTCCCACCACCCACCAGCACCTTCCAGAGTCACTTTGCCATCTGGCACCACCACATCCAACTGCACACAACGGTACCTGAACCACAAATGTGAAAGCTGACGTGTGCCCAGGGGGAGCAGGGAAGGACCCTCCCCGTGGACCCAAACAATGAAAAGAGAAGAAAGGGAAAGGTTGCAAAATAAAGGTGTGGGTTATCAAGACACTTTCTGCAGAAAGGAGAACAGGACCATCCCAAAGCGACCCAGGGCCATGGACGGCTTCGCTTACCCCTCTCTGCAGCAGGGCAGAAGAGAAAGGGGATTTTAACTCCTGGATCCAGCCAAGGAGAGCCAAGATGCGCTGGCCCAGGCAACAAGCTGAACCCAAAACTCGAATGTTTATACAGCCCCTAAACAACATCTTGGTGGATCTGGATTCCAACAGCTCCTTCCCTCTGAGTTTGCTCAGGAAAAGGAAAAAGTCAACAGCCTGGGAAAACAGAAGAAGAGATTTCCGGTTTTGTTTGTTTAATACCAGAACGAAATCGAGAAACAGCGCTGTCACAACTCCAGGACCCAGCGCTGTGTGTTGGGGGATGAGTCCTCCTTGGCCAGGGGCAACAGACATTTTTTATTTTTGCATTCAGTGTGAATAATGCGGTGGTGAAAAGTGGTAACGCTGGCATCCTGGGTATCCACGGGCCGGTCTCCTTTGTAGCAAGGCATACGCTTGTGGATGGGTCCTCACATGAAAAACTCATGAACGGAGACACACAGAGTCTCTTTGATGAAGGTTCAAGTGTCTGGGGTGGCATGGCCAAGTGCACTGACTGTTGAGTGAAAAACCTCTTGGACTTCGGAGTCGGGGGCCTGTCTGAAACTCTAACCTGTTTACCTTCTGACTTTGTCTTCTGGGTCTCCCTTTCTACCCTTGGTTCTAGCCAGACTTCCTACTGAAAGAAGGGCCCCTCAGTCTTTCAAACAGAAGGGAAATGGTTTCTGACTGCTAAACTTCTCTAGAGTACATGGCTGAACGGGCATCAGTAGCCAAGGGCGAAAAGTCAGCTCATTCACGGAGCCTGGCACTAAAGTCTGTGGGCACAAGAGATTCAGCAACTGTCACATGGAAATGTGGCTTTCCCACTAAAACTCTGCCCCTTTCTCCTACAGAGCCATCTACTCACGGAGTTAAGCATCAGGGAGGGCAGCTTTCACCTCCGAGCTTTCTGGTATAAAGACAGCATCCTGGGTTCCAGAACAGAACAGAGCTATTCCCGCCCTATATGCTAAAAGCAAGTGCCTTATCTGGAAAGAACCCAATGGGTCAAGGGACTGGCCTCCACCTCCGCTTGCCCTTATTTCCAAGGATCAACTCGGAGTTGACGATGGGATTCCAGCTCCCCATCTCACCAGCCCCACTCCTGGGAAACACTGCACCTTACGACGTTGCCTGTTGAGTAGGACTTTCTGAAATCATGACTTCTAATCTATTCATCATGATGACGACCACTTGTCCAATCTTCGACCAAATGTAGAGAAGGGAGAAGCAGGAGCCCGCACCTTCTGTTACCTGACGCCACCCTGGACACACACCCTGTCGGTAAGCACACCTCCCTTCACCTCTAGTGGAAGGCCTGGCCACATCACTCCTGGGCTTAAGGGCCCCAAAATGCAGCAGGTCCAGCACAGGGTGCGAGAATCGACTCACCCAGCTTAGAATCAGTTCTGACATAACTGTCTCTTACGGAATTGTACTAGGGCTCTTCAAAAAGTTCATGGAAATGCGTATGAGGAAAATACGCATAGATTTCAGTTTTACTGAAATTCCCAATTTCCACCAATTTCTTGAAGTACTTTCATATTTCTTATGATAAAAAAATACATGCATGTATTACAAACCATGGTGATATTAATTTGCAGGACAGATTTTATAAAGACTTAAACTGTAATATTACACATGGTTTTCTAAGTGTAACTGGGGCCAGATAAAACATTTTCAGTATCTAATTATCATGAGATGGTTTCATTACTTTTACGACATTCAACATGAAATTTCTAGTATCCAGAAACTTGCAACTATAATTGCAACTATAATTGCATTTTACCTTGCATGTTCAGTTATTAGGACAGGAACCTTGCAAATAATAGGTCCACCCTCACTATCTGCAAAGCAGGCTTAGAATAGCAAGATTGTACTCTTGAATCTTTCACATTAAAAACTACTAAATTGCTTGGCTAAATTAGAACAGCTGTACATTGAGGGTACATGCGTATTGGCAAGGAAGGCAAACTTCAAAAAAATCCTTTCTGGATGAAAAAAAAAATTTTTTTTCAAACTCCCTATCACCCGTACAGCCAACAGGGCTAAGTGTTAAGTCTGTTGATATTTTCTCTGGGGGGGGGGGGGGGGCGGGGTGAGGGTCGCCAACTCACAATAAGAGCTTATGAAGACACAGCTGGCGTAGCATCCCTAATTGTAGATACAGCCACATTCATTAGCTCCAGCAACGCTCGATGCTAAGAAAAGCGTTTTCTAGAAGGGCACAAGGAAAATGTACCCACATAAATGTGCCCGTGTCCCTAACTCTGATTACCATTCTTATCTGGAAAATAGGAAAGCCCTCACCTCTACTTGGGTTCTCTAGGTGGACGACTGTACTGCAGAGCTAGGAGGAAGAGGCAGGTGTACGACACTGGCCGTGGAGAGCCACGTGGCTTGCTGAAGCTTCATTGGTGGCCAAACTAAGAAAATAATTTCAGTCTCACTCCTGCTTCTGATTCTCCCATCCTAGCTCCAAAAACTGTTTTCTGTCATTATATTCAACAATGTATTTGCAAAGCTATTCTTAGATATTTTGGTTTTAGTCAAATCCCGCGGGACGTGAAGGAGAGATAAAACACAAACAGTCCCTTCTTATTGAATTAATTTGATTTTTGTCTTTTGCGCTCCTAGCCATCAAGACTGTTGAATAAACCAGTTTTGATTCATAAATAATAGTTCCATTATATCTACTGTGCCACTCGTCAGAGTACCTGAAATTTTAATTCACTTGTTCAGCTAAATTTCATCTTCAGCTCATGGCCATAAAATTCTTTATTGACAAACTTTCAAACCAACTTTGACTCTGAGGTATCTAGTCAACATTTTTCTTCTGTGTGGATATTAGTTTATTGAATAAGTGGCATCTGTTTTCCTCCACATCACTGGCAGAGTAGGTATTTCCTTTTGACAGCTTTACAGGATTTATGGGTTTGCATGCTCTGAAGAAAAATAGTACTAAGCAAAAAATTCCAATTCATTACCTCTTAGTACTTAATTAAGTTCATACCCACGGCACTCGGGAGGTGAACTCTGAAATGACTGTGACAGCCGCAGAGCAGCGAGCTATATTATCTCTGCAAGACAGAGGGGATTCTAATTACCCTCACCCCACTTTTCCATCTACAATATTCATAAGCACTCCTTCTATCTGGCTCCCTCTTAGACCTGGACAGAACCGTTGGGATGGCAGGTGCCGACTCCTCGCTGCAGCCACCACCTGTCCTGCTGGACAGCAAAAGCCAGCAGTGGCCTAACACTGCCCTGGCCCTCCCTCTTGTCACAAGGTCTTGCCCAAGGCTGTCTGGAGCAGGCGGCGGGAGTGAGAGCGCAGAGCCGGCGGGAGGGGGAGAGGCGGGCTTACCGGTCGGGGTTCTGCGTGCACACGTGCATCTGCAGGAGGATCCGCTGGGTGAACGTCTTAAAGCATTGCCCGCACTTCCACAGGTGCCAGTCACTGAACTCCGAGTGCAGCTGGCTGGTGGAGGTGGGGCTGGCGAGCACCCGCTGGTTCTTCACGTTCATCTGGTTAAAGCCTGATTCCATGGGCCCGGACTTATCCAGGAGGGAGAAGTTCCTGCTGCAGGGCGTCTGGGGGAAGACGACGGAGCGCTGCTGCGAGGCCGGGGCCAGCTTGCTGCTCTTGGCGAAGGGCTGCAGGGCGTCCTGCCTGCACATGGCCTCCATCACCGTGGAGGGCACGTTCACTGCAGGAAGCAACAGGGGCAGGTCAGTTTCAGGAACCTCGAGATGCGCACCCCGACACATGCGCTTGCAAAGAAAACCCCCACCGCTAACACTTCAGAAATCTGTTTTTCTGGACTCCACATCAGCATCGTGGCAGATGGTATGAGAGGTGAGGCACAAATATTGCAAATGCATAATGCACCAATGCCCAGGTATGAAGCACCTACTATGTGCTCTGGATGGTTCCTACACAGTCTTTGCTCTCAGCAGGTCACTTACGACCATGAAACATACAAGGCTCCGTAAGGACGCCCTGCACTGCACCCTATGCTTTCGGGGGAGTTTGGATAGGAGGCCCCGCACGGGGGAGGAGTGAGCAGGGAGCCAGCCCAGACAAAGTGGTCTTCAGCATTGCGCAGAAGGGGGACTCGGCATGACTCAGTGCAGAGCCTCAGGCCCTTCCCCCAAGCCCGGCCAGCTCAGGACAGGTGAGTACAACAAGCTGGTTAAGAGATGACGTGAACAAGATGAAGGGCACCTGGAGAGAGGCGCTGGGCTAATAAGGGAGTCGGGCGGCGCATGCAGGCGCAGGTTTTAGGCATTGTGGAAATAGGATGGAGGGGTGGGCTGACCTCAGAAGGCACAGCAAGTCTGAACCAACAGGCCTAGAATCAGACTCAGTGTCCCAGAGAAGAGGAAGACTTGGGACTCAGAGAGGGCTTGGGTGGGGCACAGTTCACAGACCGGGTACACAGAGGATGAGGGCAGAGTGGGGGCACAGTGGGCTCTGAGGTCAGAGAGACATTGGCACAGCAGGAAAGATGCCCACATCCCATGGGAGGAGTACTTGGTTTGAGTACCAGCTCCACTCCCGATTCTGCTCCCCTGCTGATGCACACCCTGGGAGGCAGCAGAGGCTGACTCAAGGACTTGGGTCCCTGCCACCCACCTGGGAGACCCGGATGGAGTTTTAGACTCCTGGCTTCAGTCTGGCCCAGCCCCAGCTATTGCCAGCATTTGGAGAATAAAGCAGTTGATGGAAGGAAGTTCGTTCATTCTCATTCTCTCTCTGCCTTTCAAATTAAATAAATAAAAAAAGGAGGCAAAACAAACAAACAAACAAACAAAAAAAACACCTTGATACAAATACTGCCTCTCATAGCCCTGGAGATCTCGGGCCAGTCATTCAATTATTCAGTCACCCTGGGTCTCAGTTTCTCCATTTCAAAAATGAGGACGGTGGTAGTAATAACCATGGTAACAGCAGCACAGCCTGGTGGTTGAGGTGGCCCACGCTGAACTCCACTACGTGCTAGGCAAGTATGTGAGCATCTAAAACGGTCAGTCTAAGGACAGAGAGAGAATGCATGGACAGCATTCTGTAGAGACCTTGACCTGTGGCTGACACGCAATAGAAATGGAGCTCTATGGGCCCTGGCTTCCTGCTCTTTTCATATATATGAAAGAGAGGGAGAGAGCCCCTGCCTGTTCTTCACTCACCACATATATATGAAATACCTTCAGTGGCCCCTCCTCAGGCTGAACCGGAGACCTCAATCTAAGTCTCCTATGTGGTGGTAGGAACCCAATTTCTTGACCTCCCAGGGTCAGCATTAGCAGGAAGCTGGAAACCAAACTCAGGCACTCTGGTATAGGACTCAGCATCTTACCTGCTGGCCAAACACCAGCCCCAGTAGACAGCTTTCAGACTTTAAAAACTATTTGAGTGCACACAGATTCTCATTTTATCTGAAAGCTAAGGAGGCCATGTTTTAGTACTTTTTAAAGTGGAACCCAGGGTGGTGAGCCCTTCCACAAGTAATCGGAAGCTGCAAAGCCAGGGCAACCTGCAGGTTTGCAGGCAATGCCCGGTTCTCACAGGCCAGGAAGGAAAGCGTGGTGGGAAGACCGTGGAATGCTGATGCCTTGGACATGCAGGTCAGCCAGAAGCACCAGTGCTGGGAAGAGGGATACTGTCCCTTTGGGGACAGGCAACACAAATAAAGCTCCAGGCACAGATGACAAATTCTGACTGATTCCTCATGCTCCTGGAACATAACGTTCAGATGAAAATGCAAGAATCCGTGAGCCAGGGAGTTTCTGTAAGGCCAGTGACGATCAGTGTGAAATGGTGATGGAGAAAACATGACGTTCACGCATCTGAAAGTGTGTGTAACCATCAGGGTGAGTGGGGGTCGGAGATCATGGTACCCATATGACAGCAACAGCACGTAAGACAAGGATGGCTGGGGAAAAAAGGGCTTCTCCCTTTTATTATTTTCTTTCCCAAAACAAATATAATATGCTTTCCAGCTCTGGGGAGGAGCATTTGCACCATCTGTACTTCTGGCATGGTCCCTTAACTGCGGAATAAATTTGATCATTCAGAATGAACTTGAACTTATAATTGAGAGAGGAGAAAGCATAAGGATAGGAATCGGTCATCTTCCCAAATGTGACTACGCTGCACTCGCCCACTGAGGCCTGGTTTAAAGGGCACCATTTTTTACAGCACGGATTTGGCAAAGATGTAGGAGATGGTTCTTCCTAAATAGAATCCTCCTGGGCTACAGCAGCTACAGGAAATTCTCAGAAAGGGAACAGGGTGTGAAATCAGAAAACACATTGTCATCCTGACCCAGGACAGACAACAAGACCCACTCAAAGAGGGTTAAGACCATGAGCAAATGACGAGTGTGTGAAGCTGCACTGAACTGGCAAACCTCTCACGGCTATGACAATAGAGACCAAGGAGACAGGGGCACATCCTCAAAGCCTCAAGGATGGAGTTGAGGAAAAACATGAACCCATCAGCTGGAAACAAGCGAGACGCAGAGAAGCAAATTCAGAATCCATAAAACAAAGTCCGACTTCACAGGCCTCGTCCCATCCATTCGGGACACAGATGCTTACTGAACACCTGTCTGTTGACACCTGCCACTGTGCTGGGTGCTGTGCCTACCCTCACAGCCCGCCCACCCCAGTGGGAGAGCGACGCTATCAGAGAGAAGCATCGGCTCAGTTTCACTAGACCTAACACTGCGTGAATGTGCCATATTTGCTGTAGTTGTCATTCATTGCAAGACCCCTAATACTTTCAGAAAGATTAAGATGTGAAAAACGTGCATTTCAGAAGTGACACGCTACAGTCACCACACATGTGACATGTGCCATCAGGAAAAAGAAGGGGTGTCAAGAAAGCATAGGAGTAGAAAATGAATTAAAAATGTTCATTTGGTTAAAAAATTAAAAAATAAAAGTCTGGGGGCCGACGCCGTGGCTCACTTGGTTAATCCTCCGCCTGCAGCGCCGGCATCCCATATGGGTGCCGGTTCTAGTCCTGGCTGCCCCTCTTCCAGTCCAGCTCTCTGCTGTGGCCTGGGAAGGCAGTGGAGGATGGCCCAAGTGCTTGGCCCCTGCACCCACATGGGAGACCAGGAGGAAGCACCTGGCACCTGGCTCCTGGCTTTGGATCAGCGCAGCTCTGGCCGTAGTGGCCATTAGGGGAGTGAACCAATGGAAGGAAGACCTTTCTCTCTGTCTCCCTCTCAATGTCTAACTCTGCCTGTCAAAATAAGTAAATAAAAACAGAAAAATTAAAGTCTGAGATCCAGGTATAGTTTTTCCATAGCATGCGTTTTCTGTGAACTTCATTTAAAGGCCTCGCCCACATCAGACAACTGAACCTGGGGTCTGGGGGGATCTGTGTCCTGAAGGGTGCAACAGGCATCAGACAGGTGCAGGACAAGGAGGAGAAGCCGACCCACATGGCCACACAGCCTGTGTCACGCTGAGTGGAAGGAGCTCTGGACACTCTAGGAACTGAACAAAGGACACTGTGTCCATAAGGGGGGGGGGTGGTGGATGACAGGGAAGTGGAGGGAAAGGCTGCACAATTTCCCACACTGCTGGAAGCTGGACAGGGATAGGAACTACGATGTGCTGGGCTGATGGCAGGCAGGTTCATCAGACAGAGGGGGTGGGGTTGGCAGCAAACTGATTGGGGCACAGCCAGTCCAGAGATCTTTGAGTTCTTGTTTTTTAAAATACAAGTAGGTCATACAAAATGTTTTGGGGGATTTATATGGTCCACAGGCTGCCATATTAAAGAACTGTGTGTTTTTAAAGATTTATTTGAAAGATAGAGTTAGAAGAAAGAAGGGAGAGAGGGAGAGGGAGAGGGGGAGAGAGAGAGAGAGAGAGAGAGGAGAATTTTCATCAATGGGTTCACTCTCCAAAAGCCCACAACAGCCAAGGCTGGGCCACACCAAAGCCAGGAACCTGGAATTCCATCCAGGTCTCCCACGTGGATGCACTTGGGCCATCTCCCACTGCTTTCCCAGGTGCATCAGCAGGGAGCTGGGGCAGAAGTGGAGCAGCCAGGACTGAACTGGCACCCATATAGGATGGGGGCATTGCAGGTGGTGGTTTAACCCTCTGCACCACAATGCCAGCCCCAGAACTGGAGGTTTAGAATGACATCATGGTGAGCCAAAAAAGGATTTTACACTGGGGCATGAAATGATCAGACATATACTTTAAATGCATCATTATTCTATGTTAATGAAAAGCAAGGCATGTGTTATGTTACTTTCGGGGAGGGGAGGGAAGGGAGGGGAGAGAGCCAAAGGGAGGGCGTATATGCCTGGGCGCTGGAAGAACAAGAACCACCCCCACCAACGACTGCCTCTTGGAAGGGGACAGCGATGTCCACAGAGCTTTCCAGACTTTGGTCTGTGGGACACAACTACCCATTACCAAAACCAATGCACAACAGCAATAAGAAATCAGACTTCACACTGACTGCCACACTGGCAAGAGAGCAGGCATCAGACAGGAGGCAGCAGCTGGCCCAGGTTTCTAGAAAGATCAGCTGTGTGCACAGGAGTGTCACTGAGCTTGGAGAGAGCATGGGTGGGAGTGGACAGAGCGTTTTTGCTGTGTTTGCTGAGATGAAGATATGCAGGTGAGGTTGGTGGGGGACAAGTAGAATGGGGTCTCTGTTCAGCAGAGAGGACTGGATGGAAAGGACCTGTGTTCATTCGGGGGCCTGGAAATGGACTCAGGAGGGGTCTGGAGTGCCCTGTGTGGAGGGTTACAGGGAGGACCCTGGAGCCTGTACCTGTTAGGAAGTTGAGAGAGCAGGGTTGGGCCATGGGAGGAAGGGAACAGCTCTGGAGTGGGGAACAACCCTCAGGGCTGCCCTGCATTGACTCAAGGGAACCAGGGAGCCAAGGGAACACGTAGAACAGGCCCTGGACATGGCCACCAGGGGAGCAAGCACAGCTTAGGGGAGAAGGCCCTCTTAGGTGTAGGCACTTCCTGAGACAACCCTACCTGAGCAACACAGGCCAACTTCCACAAACAAGGGAGCAAGTGTCCCAGCCGCGTGGCCAGGCGGGATCCAGGCAGCCCAGCAGGACACCCTACAGGACCAGGAAGCCAAGCCTCCCGTGAGGGTGGCTTTCCCTGTGTCCTTCATGCCTTCTCTGTGAACACAGCTACAGCAGGCGCTGCTTCTGCCAGAGTCCTGGGCACACATAGCTTCCCTGTGCTTCCACAGGGCTCTCGAGCCCTCAAACCTCAGCCCAAAGCCTCCAAGCCTGGCAGGTGCTTCCCAGCAAGGCCTACAGCTGAGGCTGGTGTCAGGGTGCGACTCTGTTCTCATCCCTGACCGAGGATGGACGGGTCCTTGCCCAACAGGCTTGAGAACTGTGTCTTCCCAGCCCCCACTGAGGGACACGATCCTCCCTCCTGGCTCCCAGACTGACACGAGGAGCCCTCCCCTCCCCTCCCCTCCCCTCCCGGCCTGGGACCTGGATTCCTGCACTGCACCCACGCTCAGCCTCTCACTCGCCTGGCTCAGGTCACGGCCGTGGCCGTGCTTGGCACCTGCACCATATTTTCTGTCGGACTCTGCATTGCCTTCAGGACCACGTTCCTCAAGGAAGGGCCCGAATTTCTGCCTCTGGGGCTCCCCTCTGGGGCATGCCCACGGCTGCTCTTCTGGGACTCAGGTATCCTAGGATGGCCCCAAGATGCCAGGGGAAGGCTGAGTAGGACCTTCTCGGTGGGGATGAGAGGCACCGAGCAGAGATGTTTCCTTTCTGTTGTCTGCTCTCCCAAAGTAAAAGCAAAAGGCAGGCCTCGTCGGGGCAGGCTCATCCTGTTTCACATTGCACTACCCCAGCTTCACGCGCCCATGCAGGAGACGCAGCAGGAAGGCGCGCCGACTCCCAGGGATTTTTTTTTCTTCATTTCCTCTGAAAGGAGCAGGAACCCAGAGCAGCCTCTGCACTTTGCAGGAGCAAATCCCCCACTGGAAGCCGGGCAGGCGCCTTCCTCCCCGCGCTCCCATCTGTCGACGTGGCCGCTCCTTCAGCCTCTCTCCTCGGAGCTCCATTACACGGCTCGCTACGGTTTCCTTCAAAGCAAACAGCGTGGTGGCTGCCTCCAGAACCTGAGTGCCCACGTGAGACGCCGCGGGCCCCCGGGGTCCAGGCAGCTCTCCGCGGCTTGTCAGCCCCCGGGGTGCCCGTGTGTCCCTGCTGCCCGCCGCTGTCGGGCACGAAGCAAAGCCCGGCCCGCCACACACACGCCATAGGAAATGTGTGCTTTCAGTGTTGAAAGAACCACAGGAAGAAAAAGATATTTGTGCACTTGAAAGTGCTTTGTAAGTATTATTCACTAACCCGAACCTTGCTTTCTTCACGTCTTGGTCCAAGTATCAATTTCATCAACAGAGAAAAATCAGGCCGAAATCCTTAACCCCTTTCCTCAGGACGGAGCCAGTGAGCACTGGCTGTGGACTGTGCAGAACCCCGGGATTTTCTCTGCTCAGTCTTTGATCTCTAGAAGGTTCTTTGGAAGGAGCCTACTTTATCTTGTGGCTGGCTCAGTGGGATATAAAAATGGTCTTCGAATCGCTGATCCACTTGAGGTGATTTAAATGACTCAGGGCTAGTTGTCAAATTATCTGTGTCCTTTTACATGCGAACGTGCAGCCCCAAGTCTCTCGTGAGTCGGGTAGAATGACCAAGTCCATCCTAGAGGTCGGATCAGGGCTGGAACCACCCTCTCTCTAACTGACCACGCCTCCTGCTGGTTTCTGGGGTGACCACTCATATGACTGACAAGTGACCCTGGGACAGGAACCCACGTAAAATTGCTCCCAGGCCCTGAGAGGAAAAGGGGTTGTCACCGCTGAGTGTTTTAGCCAAAGACTTAATTCCCTTAAACATCTCTCAACTCTCGCTTAGAGTTCTGAACTGAACCCAGAAAAGCCACTCGGCTTTCCGATTGAATCCCCGGTTTCAAGCTGCCGTGGGGGTTTGTGTATTTCCTGTCCAGGATTTCAGGAGCTAAATGATGTCGCACGTGCCCTGGAAAATCAACAACCTCCACCTCGGCCCGAGGAAGAAAGGGGAACTGAGAAGCACAGCGGGCGACGCTCCAGGAAGCACCGTGTGGCCAGAAATGAACGCCAGGCGACGCTCTCACGATACCTGATGACACACGGGCCCCACAAACGCTCCAGCCCATCCTCTCGCCAGTCCTCCCGCAAACGCCACCTTCCCAGGAGGGCCCACTCCATCCAGGGAACAGCATGCCGAGGTGGAAGCAATGTGTGGCTGCACTTCCCCTCTGGGCACCCATGTCCAGGGTAAGAAACCGAGGCCGTGATCGTACAGTGGCTGGTACTCCGTGCTGTGCAGGGGGAGACGCGAATTCCCTAAGCAGTCACTCCCCGGTTTCCGTTTCTGCTGCAGACCTCAGTACACCAGGCCACGCTTCCTGCTTCCAGAAGCCTCAGAATTACCCTCACCTGAGCTCGCTCGCTCGCTCACTCTCTCGCTCGCTCTCTCTGTTTCTCCCTCCCTCTCAGCATCCAACATACTAGAACTGCTGTTGGCTTTGCTTTTCAAAGTGCATCCAGAATCCAACTGCCTCTCCTCCACATGTCTGCACCATGGCCTCCAATCCACCAGCACTTCCCTCCTGGACTCCTGCACGAGCCGCCCCAGGGGAGCTCACCCTGCCCTTCTGTAAAGCCGCAATCCCACCCCGTGGCCCCACTTGCCTCTCTGCTGCTGTATCCACTTCGCAACACTCATCACCGACTGACAGCCTATTTACTTACGGACACATCTGCTGATAATCTGTCTCCTTCCCTACATGGGAAGCTCTGTTACAGCAGCAACTCTTGTGTTTTGCTCCCCGCTGTATTTGCAGCACCTGGCCAAGCCCCTGGCCCATGGTAGGTGCTCAGTAAATAGGCACACAGCAAATGAATGAAAGACTCTGTGCTGTAGAACCCTGGGCCTTGTATGTTTCCTCCCAGACGTTTTCCAGCACGTAAACCCCAACAACATCTACAGAGGCCGCAGCAGGTTGCATTAGAGGAGGAAACGGAGGCCCTCACACAATTTCTGGAAGGTGAGGCAATGTTCAAGTTCAAATGCACAGACAAACTCGCGTCAGCTGCTCCGCTGGGCTGGCACTGGTGCTCTTCTGAGCACAGCTCTGGATCTACATTCAGGGGAGCTGGGGCAGGGAGCCGTCCCGGGCAAGGCAGAGCCAGGTGGCCTCCGTGTCCACATCTGCCGCGGACACCAACCACACATTCATGTCCAGCACGCAGATCTTCTCCTATGAAAACAGCCCCTCCGCGAACAGGAGTCCTACTGCAGGGAACAAAGTTTCCCATGGAAACTTAGGAAGCAAGAGGAATGCATTGTATGTCCAAAGATTCATGTTTTGATTTGAGGTTGGTTAGGGGTCAGGGTAAAGTCAAAAAGGAAAGCTGATAGCAACAGCCTTTCTGAGGGTTTTACTTTTTACAAAGAACCTGAATATGAGAAAGGAGTGTTTGATCATCCGCATTCGGCAGCGTAGTAACATGAACATTTTCGTAGCCACCTGTGTGCATGTGTATGTGTGTGTGAGAGAAAGCAAATGCAGAAGGAAAAAGGAAAATAACACTTGTTGCAAAATGAGATTATTTTTGCCCCCAGTAATGAAATAGATCTGTTATCTCCACCTCGTCTTGCGGCATAATATCACAGTGTCAGTTCACAGGTTAAGGAAGTTGTTGACAAGAACATGTGGCATCCTTGAAACCAGTGCATACCAGAGTTACCTAATCCCGTCCCACACACTGGAAGTCACATATAATAATTTCCATAGAATTGATCCAACACAGTATCTTTTTAAATTTTAAATTTTCTTTCCAACTTTAAATGCGGTTGCAAGTTCACATTTGCCTAGGTGTTAGATTATTCTTTCATAGAGAACAGTTGGCATGATAATGAAGGCTGTAGAAAATTACATGGCTTTTGTCTATGGTTTTAGATAAAAAAAACTTAGAAAGACACAACTTCCAGAGCTATGCAGATGAGATTTTTACTACTATTTCTCATTCAGTGACTGCTCAGAGGGAGACACACACAATGGGCTAGAGAGGGTGCTGATGCAACTGCGTCATTATTTTCTCATTATCTCATTTTTGGGTCATGAGCTGCTCCTGCAGCCCAGTGAGATGGCCACAGAGAACCAGACACACGGTGGGTGCTCAGCGAATAGCAACCGACTTAACCTGGCTGCCAGTGATGACTTGAAACTCTGGCAAAGGCTTTGAGATTGTGGATAGGCAAAGAAGCATGGGCCTGCACGGGTTAAGATGCCCTGGGGGGAAAGCAAATGACAAAGGAGGGACAATGAAGCCATGAAACAGACCCCCTTGTGTGTCTGCATTAAGTATCACATTGAACCAGGTGTTGGGAGTCTCAGAAAACACTCTTAAAACATTAGCTTTGAAACAGGTTATGTTGAGATGTGAATTCAGAGCTAAAATAAGTTCTTACAGTTTTCATCCTGGGCAATGCATTGTAAGGGGATCCCAAAGAAAGACGTATAGCTGTCATTGTACCACACCAGAAGCTCGGTGCCCCTGGGGATATCTATACAGGCTCGGTAGAATATGTGCGACCTATTCAAAACAAAAGAAAACCAGCTTAGTAGCGTACAACACTCATGTGCCCCATTCACATTTTTATTACCCACCCCCCAAAAAAAGTCCTGCCCAGTCCTCCACCTCAGCAACTTCTGCTTATAATAAATCCACACCCTCCACACTGTCCCCACCAACCAGTTACAGCCTGTAGCTCAGTCGGCTGAACAGGACACAGCCGATTCCATAATGCCCTGGCATGCAGGCCCCTGGCTGAAGACACAGGTACCTGGCCCTGGATACAACAGAAGGGAGAGTTCATTTTGTCAACTCCCTCCTGTCACGTGAATGAGAAAACCCTCTCTCTTAGCAAATGGCAAAGACACTGGCGCCCCAACTTCCTATATAAATTCCTGCCCTACATTTCTTATGTGAAGGGAAAATAGCAAAGTGCATTCTTGCACCTAGGCACTGGGACTTCCCCGGTTTGCAATAAAATTAGGTGGCTTTGTGACACCATGCCGAAGGGAAATAAAAATCCACTTCGTACTTGGTTGCCTTCCTTCTAAAGTTTGAGATGAGAGAACAGGAAAAAAACTGGGATGTGAAACAGAAATTCGATAAATACAGAGGAGCGTTTGAGCCTGGCTGAACGATGGTACTCTGAAACGGCCGGTGCAGGGACCGAGGGGTAGACATTCGTTACAACAGCTTCGGAACTCTGAAGAAAAATCCACAGATTGAAAAAAAAAAAAATGAGGAGATGGTGACTGGTTTTCTCAATGAAGAATGGCTACAAATATGAGCCTCAAGTTCAAGATAAAAGTGTTTAGGGTTGGTGGGCCTTAAATTTCGCCTTTCTGCAAGGAATCGGCTGTAGCAGGCAATTTGTTCCTTGTAGAACACTGCAGACATAAGGCGAATCCTTCTGCACATTTTTCATGGCGGTGAGATATGCACTTGTCAACATATTTTGTCACCACAAAGTGGCTCTTGGCAATAGGATCATAAAGATCAATAAAAAAGTGCAGATTCTCAATATTTTACTTGCAGCTGTGAAAATTTCATTTATCTTGTTATTTTCCTTACTTGCTGCCATTCTGTCTCACGAGGGCACTGCTAGCTAAGCAGAATGTTTTCTCCAACATTCTGTGACTATCTGACAAAAACTCCAGCCAGTTGTCCAGCCCTCACCACCCTTCTTCGCCCTGCCTCTCCGAGAGCTGTGCATTTTATTAATTCTTTCCACTGCTACATAAAAAAATCAAAATCGGAGCCGAGCTATAAATCACCGGCATCTCCTAACTTGAGAAAAATTGAGTCTACTTTGTACCTCACCCTTGTGACATTTCATCTCTCGGTTTGGCTTTCCTTAATATAAACACAGCGCCCAGCAAATGAATGTGCGAAGCCCAAATGACACACTTTGCCGCTGAAAGAGTACAACTGTTTTTGAGCAATGGGTGGTCTGCCCAGGCGGGGGTAGGCCGGTTGGGGGGGGGGGGATGTGTAAGCGTACACCATGCCTGACAAAGGCAGAGCTTCCAAAACTCTGCATGTTGAAGCACATCAAAGGGATTTTCCCCGTTTCAAATAATATTTCCTTTGCTGACATGTATTTAGTATTGTGGTTCGGTGACTCATAAGGATAGCTTCGTGGCGTCCCAACGCAGTAGAGGTGGAGCACATGCCAACAAACATTATTGTCAGCCTCAAAATAAAAACAAAACGTTCGGCTAAGGGTCAATCAATCAAGGGCGCTTTGAAGAGAATTCCATTTAGATATTACAAATCATAACAGAGCGAATTCAAACCAGCTGACTCTCTGCGAACGGGACGTCCATGTACAATAAAAATCAGGCTGGCTCCCCGGTCCCCGACTTTGCTATTTTCTGACTTTTGGACATGCTCACTGGGGATGGATGCCAGTTCTTAAAATTGTGTTTTTGTCATTCGTTTTATGAACATCAGACGTAATCGAAAACAGATCGGCGAGACGGGGCTGGCGGCGGGAGGGCCGTGGGGAAGGGGGCGTTGTAAAACCCGCTTGCTCCTCACGGGCAGCGGATGACTGGCTTGTGCCCACCAGCCCGGGAGGGCACTGTCCTCCCACACGCAGACCGGCCTCCCGAGCAGGCCGGGCGTGCCTCACAGCCCCAGCCACGACAATCTGTCGCCTTCACGGACAAGCCTGATCTCTCTGCTGGTTTTCTGGCTCGGGGTTCCATGACAGCCTCAAATACAGCTGTGCTAAAGGTGAGGAAAGCCGGCACACAGCCGTGGAACCCAACACCGTCTTGCACCATTTCATTGGAACCATGATTTAATGAACGAAAACTGCAGAGGAACGCAGGCCGTGAGTCACAGGGCGCTCAGACTTCATGCTCAGAACTTCAGAGAGCAAGCCAGATCCGAGCAGCCTTTAACCTACGAGGGGAAGAAAGTTAAAAAAAAAAAAAAAAAAAAAAAAAAAAGGGAAAAGAAAATAAATAGCCACAGGCAGGACTCCAAGTTGCCGAGCCCAGGGCCCTGGGCTTTGATGTGTCTGTGGTGCCTAATAAAACTAAACAGTTGCTTCTGATTCTAAAGGGAACGCGGCTGTTTATAATTGAGCTCATATATTTATATGGCACATGTTTTCGAGGGATTTTGAGAAAAGACGGCTTAGCGGTAGAGCTTTTTTCCTGTTTGATTTGTTTCTGCCCGCTCGTCTCTGCTCCAGCCTTCTTTAGGCATCGGTGGACAGGCTGGTGGAGCAGGTGCACCTGACAGTGCAGGGGGGCTTCTCAGCTCTCCCCAGAGCCCACCTTATGGGAGTCCTGGGGAGGACTGCGGATGGCTCCGCCTCGCCTCTGTCATCCTCTGGGCACCCTCTCCCCAGACATCTCGGGAAGCCGGGACGTTCTCCAGGCTCTGGACCCAAGCGCTCTGGCATCATTGAGCAAGCAGCACAGGTCACCTTGGCTCATCATCACTGCTGAGCACAACAGCCTGGGGAACCCTGAGAACTCCTGGTTTCCAGGCCTTTGTGCAAAGGAAAACTCTCGGGGACATAGCAGGGAGGACCTGGCGCTGATTCTCTGACTCCTCCTCTGCTGTGTGTGTGCCCCTGCTGCTCTCACCCGGGCCACGGCAGCGAGAAGGACGTGACCTCAGCACCTGCGCTGGGTGATGGATGCCCTCCACCAGCACCTTTAGTTCTGAGTGCGCGTGAACCTACTGCTGGAGGAACTCAGGTTTCCCTAACCCAGCAAAAAAAGAAAGAAAGAAAGAAAAGTTCCTGCCAGTCCTTGTGGGGTTCCCCTGGAGGTTGGCAACCAGTAGCAGCAAGCCTGAATTTGCAAATGCAAGCCCCGGGGCCAGGGCTGTGTGAAGCAGCAAATCAAGGTATACGTTACCTGTACTGAACTACTGTTAGATTCTGCTCCCCGCAGTGCCTTGCACATCGGATATACCTCATCCAGCTCGACTTACTAGGCTCCCCACCATCAATAAAGTGCTGAAGTGTCCCATCTTGATCATATATCTGGAGAAGAGGTCAGAAGGTCAAGTAGTTAGAACGAATCATCAGCAATCATTTCCCGGCCTCCCTGGGTGTCTTGAGCGTAGGCGGTGCAGATTTATGGCCCTCGGGTTGCCCGGCGCGTATGGATGCTCGCAGAAACCCAACTGGAACCACGGGGGAAATATTTTCTGGTGATGCAAGTCGATCACGCTTTTTCTTATCGAGCCAATCTTCCCTGAATTAAACATGTCTGTGGTCTCTCAAGGATGTGACCGTAGTTCCCAAAGAACACACAGCCTATTTTTGACAGGCTAGCCTTAAGTGATGAGCTGCTGGATAAAGCAAGCAAGCTGAAAGGCAAAGCCACACTGGCGTGGCCGGAACAACCCGTGACAAGCCCCCAGTCCCCGGCACGCAAGGAGGTATGGGAAAGCAGCCACTGTGTGGCTACCGAGCTGGGTGACATCTAGCAGAGGCCGGTCAGAGACTGACGGAGCTTAAAGAACTAGCAAAACAGATGCTCATTCGGGTGCAGTAAATGACCCTTCACTTCACAGAAGATGTTGGACTTCAGTCGTCAGGATCTGAAACTCTCAAGGGTCATAAAAAAAAGAGAGAAAGAGAAAGAGAAAGAGAAAGAGAAAGAGAAAGAGAAAGAGAGAGAGAGAGAGAGAGAGAGAGAGAGAGAGAGAGAGAGAAAGAGAGAGAGAGAGAAAGAGAGAGAGAGAGAGAAACTCCAAAAAGGCAAAGAAAAAATAGCTGTTTGCTGTGGACAGGAAGAATCTTGACTGAGGTTGGTCTAAAAAATCATTGCCTTAGGCCAACTCCACACAGTCTTCCAGGGCAGCATTCAAGGAAATGAAATCCACTTCACCTTGGGGGACTAAGCAAGGGGCAGAAAGTCTCACACAAAGCGAGGAGCTAGCCAGGCAAACACGGCACCGGCACCGGCAGCACTTCCTTCCAGAAAGCACCCCACCTCCAGGCTGCCTTGGGGGAGTGGTAGCAAGAGCGGTGGGAAGTGGGGTTCACATAGCCATAGCCGCCCAAGGGGCACCCAGGAAGCAAGGAGCAGCCGAGTCTCCTGGAGGTACCGTTCTCGCTGGCAACTGCACCTTCTCGAATGAAATCAGCAGTGGGGTGCTCCTGCTGGTAGCTGCTGGGGGTTCCCCATCTCCCACGCTTGCTCTGAAAACTTCCTACTTGTCCTTTCTCAACAGACAGGGAGATTAAACTTTACAGAGAGACCTCCCCAGTTACATATGGGCCCTAAAGTCAGCTCCACAAGTGCACCTTTTTATTAGCTCAGTGCAGTTCCGCTGTGGGCCAGGGGCTTAGCAATGACACTGTCTTTTTACCATCACCCGTCGGGGCTTTGCGTTGCTGTTGTTTTTGCTTCTCTTGAATGCATTCCTCTCCATCCCCACTAACCCCCACAAGAGAAAGACAAGCACTAATTTAATAAAGACAACTGTCACAGAAGTTGGGACTGAGCAGACAGCAGAGAGAACATAACTGATAATTAACTTAGCCTGAGAAGAAGGAAGAGATTCCCAGGTTGTGTTATAGTTAAGATTAATCATTTCTGGGCCGGCACTGTGGCGCAGTGGGTTAACACCCTGGCCTGCAGTGCCGGCATCCCATATGGGCGCCAGTTCTAGTCCCAGCTGCTCCTCTTCTGACCCAGCTCTCTGCTATGGCCTGGGATAGCAGTGGAGGATGGCCCAAGTCCTTGGGCTCCCGCACCCACTTTGGGGACCTGGAGGAGGCTCTTGGCTCCTGGCTTCGGATCGGTGCAACTCCGGCTGTTGTGGCCAATTGGGGAGTGAGCCATCGGATGGAAGACTTCTCTCTCTGCCTCTCCTCTCTCTGTGTGTAATTCTTTCAAATAAATAAATAAATCTTTTAAAAAAAAGATTAATAACTTCTTTAAAGTCCGAGTTTTGGGATAATGGCGGAGAATGGTAACTTTGCACGTGGTGGATCTACATACTACCTGAGCAACCCCAAGACCAATGCTGTAGTTAGCTCATACTGCAGGTATCACACTAGGCTTCTGTTGCGTTTCTGTCTCTAGGAAGCTGGTTACATCCCTGTCTATTGTTGACAGCCAACATGACACTGAACAAAATCACTAGGTTCCCTTAACCCCACTGGTGATCTTTAATGGGGTAAAAAATGGTAATGACCCAGATCCCTGTCCCACACAAACCACCTTCCATCACGAGTGCTGGTGGAAGCACTAGGATGCATTTCCAACAATTCTAGCCATGCAAACTTGTCAAACACTTAAACAAAGCAGGAGGTCCCTTAAGTGTTAGGGAGGTCCCTAAGCTCTTTGTACAAGGAAATGTACACTCTGCACCTGCCTGCTGTAGACTGTGGCTCACCTTCAGGAGAAGCAGGTGGCTTTTTGTGTTCCCAAAAGCCACGCAGTGTGGCACATGTCACAGGGGTGGGCTTCCTCGGCTTCAGCTTCAGTAACTGATATTACTACAGCAAATGACACCGACGCCCACTTCAATCCCACAACTGCGTGCCCAGCATTGAAGAAGCTCCCTCCACCTTGGTGCATTCTTGGCTTCAGCCCTCAGAGCCCAGATCCAGCTGGATGCACCTCCCAGAGGCTTCTCAGGTGCATCCGCCTCGCCCTCTCCACGGAAATCCACTGAGCTTCCTTTCACCCCTACGTCATGACAGCCCCTTGCCTGATCTCCCTGCAGCCTCTCCAGGGCCCTCCAATCTACCTGACCATCAGTAGCCAGAGCAATCTTCCAGAACCACAAATCTGATTATACACATTTCACCTGATCTACCCCAAAACAAAAAACAAACAAATAAAAACTGCATAAACGTTGTAAATGTCAAGTCATACACAGGAGGGTATTTCAAAAAAGAATGCAAAATATGTGGGAAAAAAAGGAATGAAAAGTTCATTTTGGTGTTTAAAAAAAAAATCCATGCATCAGTGTATTTTATATCACTTACAAAGTCTCCTCCAGGGCCCTCATACCTGTACCTCCAGCCAAGGTAGTGTGCGGTGGCCAAAACACAGTGCTTTAGCATTTGGTACAAGACAATGCTCAGGGCCTTTGGGTCTGTGTTGTTAAGAGCTAACATCTAGGGGCTGGCATTTCACATGGATGCCAGTTGGAATCCTGACTTCTCCACTCCTAATCCAGCTCCCTACTAATGCACCTAGAAAAAAGCAGGGGAGGATGGCCCAAGTGCTTGAGCCCCTGAACCCACATGGGAGACCCGGAAGAAGCTCCTGGCTCCTGGTTTTGATCTGGCCCAGCCCTAGAGCTGTTGCAGCCACTGGGGGAGTGAAACACAAAATAGAAGGTCTGTCTCTCCTCCTCTGTGTAACTCTGCCTTTCAAATAAATAAATCTTAAAAAAAAAAAAAAAGCTAACATTTAAACTCAGTGTTTCTTGAAAGATCAAGTGATGGGTCAAAAGGCGCCGATGCCTATTTCTGCTCATTCCTCTTGTATGATGAAAACAGAACAGAGAAAAAATAGGATACACAAATGCGAGGGCTACACAATAACCAAAGACAACTTCTTAGAAAAGCCTTGGATACTAATTTGTACCCTATCATTACTCTCCATTATTAGATTAACTTTGTTACCATGTAAGAGCCCTGTTTAAAAAAAAAATCTCTGTGTGTAGCTGACGGGGTTGCTCCAGCAGGCAGGAGAGGAGTAACTGCAGCTGGGGAACTGCTTCAAAGCTTTGGGTCTGCAGCAGCAACGTCAAGTTCAGGAAGTTGTTCTTGGGGGTTGCAGCAACATCTCTGTTTGTGGGACACTAAAACAAGGTTTTAAGTTAGATACCTGATAGTTCTAAAAAACCTACGGAATTTAAGAAGGACTTATGCCAAGAGCAAGAGTTAGTTTGTTTTTATTACCTTTGAAAAGACTTTAAATAAGCAGAAAAATATTGAAAATCTAGCACAAAGTGTTTAGACAACCCCCTCAGGACCTATAAAAATGCAGAAAAGGTCAGAAATTTTATTCATTCAAATAGTGAGAAGGAAGGCAAGTTAAATACAGATTAAGAAGAGGATCCAATCTGAAAGGACAATTGAACACAGCAAAGTTTTGCCGAAAATCATGCACTTGATTCTGAATGAACCCAAACAACAGTGTTTGAATATTTGCTCCCTTCTTTCTAAGGAAGCCAAACAAACCTTGAGAGTTAGGGAAATGCATGCAAAGAAACTCACAGGGAAAGGCTAAATTCTGCAGAGAGAATCCTCACAAGTGCAGAAAGCATACTTGGCATATTTGTTCTAGAGAGCTAGCGGCAGCATTGCGGGACAGGAGTGTCACGTGGCACAGGCACCTCCGTGAGCCTTTTAGCAATAAAGCCCACAACAGAGATAGCCTCTGGACAGCAACTGCACTGCTAGGCAGTCACTCCACTGAACTCTGATCCACAAACTTCTGGAGAAAAGTCCAACGGCCCTCACTGCAGCCTTGTTAGTAACGGCAAACAGGGAGGGAAAACAGAAATACCCATCGTCGGATGAATAAGCTGTGGCTTACTATTCAATAAAATGGTGGAAATATATCAAATTCACAAACTTGACCTGTTTGTATTAAGATCCAGGTGTTACAGATAAGTGTCATAAACTTAATGGTGACTGAGAAAATCAAGTTGTAGATCATTTGACTATGATGCCTGCTATTTGCTAAAATTACAAATCAATACTTTAGCATATTTTATAGTAGTGCATATTATTTTTTATATATAGTAAGCATATAAATGAGTATTATTTCTACAAAAAACCTATTCACTTATGTATACATTTATACTTATATATAAAACCTATCAATTATGTATATACTTATTCAATTATACATACATGTTATATATATCATTTATTCACTGACTACTATACACTCATTGTTTATATACTAATACTCATTCACTTCTTCTGTGCCTTGTATGCAGCTATTTGTCCCTTTATCTGGAGCTTTTCTGAATTTTTTAAATCAAAGAGAGAAAAATAAA